CATGAACCCCTGGGGTTTTTGGAGGGAACTGCAGGGGGTTTGTGAGTTGATGAAAAGCTATTTAATTAAATCATAAAATCGAATATGAGGTTACACTTTATTTTAAGGTGTCCTTGTTACAGTGTAATTATACATATACATACTGAGTAATATTAATTAACTACATGTACTTACTTTATGGTTAGGGTTAGGATTTGGGTTTGGCTTAGGGTTACTTGCATGTAATTATGCATAATTAACTGTTATTATAATAGTAAGTACATGTAAAATGTAACAAGGACATGTTAAAATAAAGTGTTACCGAAAATGAAAATAAATATTTTTTTAAATAAAACAATCAAAATGTAACGCTTATTAAAAAAGATTAAATATTTTATTTGTTTACCTCCATGTCACATGACCATTAACCAACATGTCAGTGAACATGTCAACAACTGTGAACATGCAAATGTGTTGTTAAACAACTGAAGTATTAACTTAAAATCTCAGGGGATACGGTAAGTAAATATTTTAGGGTTTCAGTTGACAAAAAAAAATCAATTTTCAGGTACTTCAAGTAGAAATTCATGCTCTGTCATGATTATATGCAAATTTCAGCCTCCAAGTATATGTACCTGTATACTTCAATGGTGAATTTTGCAATACATTTCTAATTAACACATCTCAACTCAACTCAAAACAAAAACAAAACATAACAAAATACAAAAATAACAAAACAAACGGAACAACAAAAAACACAACACAACAAAACATGAACAACCAAACAAAAACGAAAAACAACAACAATATAATACAACAAAACAAAAAAAATGCAAGAAAAAACAAAACACACACACACACACAAAATAAAAACCACAACAATACAAGAAAACAAAAAACAAACAAAAAAACAACCAAAAAACTAAACAAAACAAAAAACAACAACAATACAACAAAACAAAAAACAACAACACAAAGCAACAAAACACACACACAAAGCACAACCAAACAAAAACCAAAACAAAAAAAACACAACACAATGCAACAAAACAAAAACACATGTGCACACACACAAAAGACAACACCACAAACAAAACAAAACCCACAACAATACAACAAAACAAAAAACAAACTAACAAAAAAAACCACACAAAGCAACAAAACACACACACACACACACACACACACACACACGCACACAAAACACAACCAAACAAAAACAAAAACAAAAAAACAACAATATAATACAAAACAAAAAAACACAACACAATGCAACAAAACAAAAAAACAAAACACAATGCAACACAACAAAAACACATGCGCGCGCGCACACACACACACACACACACACACAC